AAAGTGGGTACAGGTGCCTGTGATTCCCCCTAGGTGGTTTCTACCCACACTTACTGGGTGCTCCACTCCTTGTTCAGTTTTGACTTCGTCGTAGTATTTTTTGCCAGCTGTATGTGTGTCCTGGAGCCACGTGTCTTTTTTTAAACGAATTACATTAAATTAAATCATAACTAAGCTGAGTGGCTTCAGAAGAGCAGAACCCCCCTTTTGTATGCAGAACAAAACCCGGTGCTGCCTGCTTTGCGGTTTCCTTGGCAAGCACACAGCTCTGCTGGAGCAACAGCCCTCTAACATCATCAGAACACAGGGATGATTCTGAATTCAGGGACAGGAATCACTGACACTGAACTGACAGCATGGTTACAGACCCCTTCCCAACCACAGACTGTCCCAAGATAGGGTCCTTGTCACTCTCCCCAGCATATTCCTAAGCCCGTAATCCCCAAATCCAGGCTCCACCAGTGCCAAAAATTCTTGTGGGTTTGCAATTCCCCCCACCAGCACTACTGCCTGCAGCATCACCCTGTGCTTTAAACAAAAGCACGGTTTTCCTTTCATTAAAAACATTCCTAAGGATTAAAGATTTGGAGGCCACAGCAAAGCAAGTTAAACATTTACTTTCTATTAAAACATCTAAATGAGAAGATTAAAACCTGTTTTACATTTAACAGGCAAAGTCAAATCAGCACAGGAGCAGCTTAGTGCGTACTTAGAGCCAAGGCATTCTGATGTGCAGAGGTAATCAATTTACAGAGGGAGGGATTTCCTAAAACTACTCAGAAAGGGGTAAAAAAATACCACGCATACATTTGAACAAATCTTTCCCTTCTGTCCCCACGGCCGCCTCCCGGAGCTGTTTTGCTGCAGCTCCAATCAGCTCACTCCCACTGACAGCTCTTGCCCCAGATTCCCCCATAAAATATTTTCACAGCTGATTAGTCTATTTAGCACGTTGCACGCTTAAGCTCTTTTGTTTATTTTTCATTTGAGATGGCAGGAAGAGACGATCCAATGGAATGCAGAAAGGGCTTATTGACTGTCTTTAATGGCAACTGTTTGCAGGAGTAGCAGTTAGAGGTCACAGAGGTGACGCAGACACAGCTGACTGCTGCAGGAATTTCTGCTCTAATTTTCTAACATCCAAACAGACTCTGCCTGGTAACAGAAACCACTGAACTACAGCTGGTTTCTGCCAAGGCAGAATTCCCAGGGGAAGCTGAAAGTCTCCCTTTACAGGGCCAAAATCCAAGTCTATTTGTATTCGCCTGCAGCTGATCTAACAGCATTCAGATATGAGACCAGCTCTGTCCTGCCATGCAGGTGCTGAGGCAAAACCCCCACTGCTGCCAGGCACCTCTTCCACAGGGTGTATTAGCCAAACTTTGGGATCACCCATCCCACCAAAAGGGTTTTTTTGAGATGCTATTTCAGATGAGTGCCAAACCCACAGAGTAACACAAAGCACCAGCACTGCTGGACACAATCCTCCATCCAAAGACCTGCAACCCAAACCCAGGTACTGAACCAGCACATGCTGTGATGCCTCCGTGGCCAGCAGGGAACACCACAGGGACTCACACACGGATCTCAGTCCCAGGTTTCCACGTAAGATGCTCTGATGCAATGAGTAGCTGATTTTACACCCCCTCTCTACAACAGCTCCATAAGTTGATCCTGCTGCCCTTAAAAGGAAGGGATCAGACTTCTCACATTCCCATGTAACAGAATTACTGAATCCCCCTTCATGCCCTAGAGGCCATCCCAAAGAGAAGTTTCTTCATCACTTATACAACTCTCAGTTTCAAAAGTTTATTTAAAAAGTGAAAAGCAGCAGAATGAAAGTGAGGGGCAGAGCGGATGTGTGCAGCCCCCAGGGTGGAGGGTTGTTTACTTTTAAATGATGACACAATTTCAGGGTGAAGCAGCACACAACTAAAGGGAGAATCACGTGCTGCTTAACTGGCCTTGTCAGACAAGTTTTTTGGCATGAGTATGTATTATGCAAAAGGAATAATCCCTTTAACTAAAATATTTGGAAGAGGGTTGCACAGCCAGGAACCAAAGGGAAGTTTTGCCATTACTTCTCATCTGATTGCACCGAATAAAATGGTCCGACCTACAAAGTATTTTAGGACAGAACTTGGACACTGTCTCTACTTGCAAGCAAATGCATTTTGCCACTCGTGCAGGCTAAACATACTACATGCAGCCAGGAAAGCAGCTGGGTGGCTCCAAGGCTCGCTGGAGAGAAGCCATGCGTTGGACACGGATACCGCTCGCAGGGGAAGGGTCCCAGCACCAGGCACGAGCAGGAGGCAGGGAAGCAGCCCTGGGACGCTTTGCAGCTACCAAGCCTCGCCTCTGCAGCAGCCGAGTGCCCGTGTGAGCGCTGCCGCTGCCTTTGCCCACACTCCCGCACCGGACACGGGAGCGCACCAGCACCGGGGTGCTGCGAGCGCCCGCAGCGCCTCCCCCGCGCCCCTCCAGGGCACGGCCGAGCCACGGCGGCGGCTGCCCTACAATCTCCTCCAAGCCCTGATCTTCCCTGCGAACCTGCACATTCAGTGCCTTCGCAGCACCCTCCTGTGGGGATTCCGCGTCCGTACAGACACGGGGGCAGCTGCAAACGGGGCGCGATGGAAACTCTCCTCCTCCTCCTCCTCCTCCGGCGAGGCGCGGGGACAGCAGCTCGGGCCGCGGCTCCGAGGCCCGCAGCTCCGGCAGCGCCACGTCCCCGCCGCCGAGCGAGGCCGGTGGGGAGGTCACAGCAGCGAGGACACCGGCACGGCCCGGCACGGCACGGCCCGGCCCGGCACGGCACGGCACGGCACGGCCCGGCACGGCCCGGCACGGCACGGCACGGCGGCGCTCCCGGCACTGCCGCGCTGCTCAACCAGCCAGCCTTGTTCATCCGTAACCTACTGACTCGCAAAGCCGAGCAGCCACAGGTAATTACAAAAAGTAGTAAAAATGAGTAAATTTCTTCGCAGCAACCTCTGACATACAGAAAGTGCTCCTCAGCTCCTTCCCTGGGGTGTGCAATTGCCCCCCACGGAGTGTATCACTGCTTAAGAACCTGCTCTTAAAACCAGGAAACCTTCATTTAGCAGCACCTCGTTTGGAACCACTTTTACATTAACACTTGTTTTCACGGTGATGCTGCATTTTCGTTCAGATACTTTAAAGCATTTTTGTCACAAGTTGCAGTGATTTTACACAATATTTTGCACCTCAGTGAAAACCAAACTGCACCTATTTTTAAGAGAAGACTTGAGAAAGTTTATAATTATTATGTAACTAAACAATTTAAGCTTTTTTTAAAATTTGTGTTTTATCTACAGTCTTAATGTACAGCATTCAGAGTGGTGCCAAGATAAACAAACCCCAGATATTGAAAGAATGCTGCAAAATTAGAGTTGGATAAATCTGAAATCTGAATCACTGATTACCCTCCAGGTTACACAGTAATTTAACATCCTTCAGCATGTGGCTTGCAAGAGAGCACACGAATCGGTTCACTTGTGCAATGGGCAGTAAGAACATGGATTAATTTTTGAAGCCTCTCACACCATATTAATTCATCTTAATAGATGCTGCTTCTGTAGGAACAAACTGAATTTTCTGCTTCCCAAATGAAGGATTTTCAAACAAGTCTGGCAGATGAGCATTAGGTGAACACAGACACACTACAGACACGCCTCTCTAGTTCAGAGAGAGGCTCTAAAGCAAGGCAAGAGCAAATTGTGGGAGAGATGATAATCCCTCATCTACTTTTTCCTCCACCTAGCAAAAGAAGTTCTTTCCATACCCTCATTGCCTGGCAATGACCGCTTTCACCTATCAGGAGTGGCACGTTGCTCCCATCCCTGGTGCGCTCAAGTATCCTGTCATGGAAAAAAACAGGCCCTAGAATCAATCAGACAGAAGCTGTCAGAGAAGAGTATCTAGTCTGGAAAACTCAGGTGCAAAACTGCAATTAAAGACTGCCTTCCCATTGCCAGAAAGCCTTTCCAAACCATCATCCCGGTCAGGAACTAAAACCTTCATTTGAAAGTTAAAAATTCATTGCACTTGTCAAACTCTGAGAAAGGAAGAGCTGCTCAGCTACTAAATTCTGAAGACATAACTGAGCCTTGCTCTTCCAGGGCAAAGAAAGGCTGAGGCTGATGGGAAGCAGGTATGGAGGCTGGAGGCAAAGGCAGAAAATCCATCCAGAACCAAGGAAGGCAGGGAATAAGATGTGGCAGAACAGAGCAGGCAGAGTTGTAGCAAGATGAACCAAGCACATTATTTTTGTTGTTACTGTACCATGAGGTCTGTGACCAGGGAAGGCAGGGATTGGGTAGGAGAGGAGACTCTCATCACTACCAGATGTACAATGTGACTTATTACTACCAACAAAAACTACAGCACCTTCCCAGCGGCAGCAGCAGGAGTTTCTGGATGAGAACACTCCATTTCTACCTTGAAGAATATCAACTCTTCCTCCACTACCCAGCCCTGCTCAGGGGATAGTAGAGCTATTCCCAGCTACAAAGAAAACGTGTCCTAAATAAACGGAGAACAGAAAGGCAAATAAAATGTTTGATAATAAAATCTTGAAGCTGTAGGCTTTTACAGGAGGGAAATAATCTCCACAGCGGGAAGGACACCTCTCCTGGCATCAAGGTCAGAACTTCTTAAGGAATGGAGGCCACTAGGCAGCACAGACTGGCTCCAACCCAAATAGTACCTCAGGAGCAGTTCCCTGGCTGCTGCATTCTACATATCCCCAAGAGGAAAAGAGAAGCCACAGCATAAACCCTGGCTATCAGATCATACATGGATCCAACTACTGAATCAGTAATTCCTCAGCCCACGGCCCTGTAACACATGAGGGCGGAGGGGAACAAGAAATTAAGAGAGGGACCTGGGTGACAGGGCAGCAGAGCTTCTCACTGGGAATACATCGCGTGACACAGCACCTCCCAGGCCCCTTGCAAAGAATGGAGAAAAGCAAGTTGTAGTATTTGTTTCATACGTTCATCACAACAGGAACATCAGCCAGATCTAGACTAGGTCCAAGGGATAATCACTGTAATTAGCACTTCGTTCATATAATTACCAGCAGACCCTGTAACATTTTACAATGGAGGTAATTACCCACATTTTACAGCTGAGGAAACAGATACAGTGCAGGTGAGTAACTTAAAAGAAATCATCAGTGAAACTGTGGCACAGCCAGAGGCTGCAATTATCCTTATTCCCAGCCAAGGTTCTCCCCAATAATCCATGCTGAATTCACTTCTGTCTTGTGGGAAGGAATCCAGAGAAAATAAACACAAACTGGAATTTCCAATGTCTAGAAGAGCTGAAAAGCAGACAAGCCAAACCTGAAGGAGAAATAAAAACACATGTTTATCACTGAGCATTTTCTGAGCTGAATGTGCAGCTAAGAGCGGGGGACAGGCAGAGGACCCTGCTCTAGCAGACACAAAGCCAATGCAGGGGTGTCAAGGGCTACAGTTCTACTTCTGAAGCAGAGGAAAAGCAGAAGCACAGAAAAGGGTCAGGGCTGGCTGCCCAATGGCGCCAGCTCAACCCCTCAGCCATCAGAGTCCTTAATGCATGTCAAGAAGTTAAGAGATTAAAGCAGGAGCAATAATTAAATTATTTAAGGACTTTAAAAACCAACATACACCCAGAGCAGCAAGCAGGGTGATAAGCCTGAGAAATTCACCCCCACCCTAAAGAGAACCTCCCTGCAGAGAGGCTGCCAAGGATCACAGTCCTGCCCCAACAGTTGGTGCCCAGGTGCGAGGCCAGAGCAGCACTCAGGCTCTGCTCTGGAAAGGGAGAAGGAATTCCCTTCCCCTCTGAGCACAAGAGCAGTGGGAGCAGCAGGATCCATGCCCAGAACCCACCAGCCCTGAAACGTCAGTAGGGTTAGCTGGCACTTGGTCAGTTTATTGCATAGGGTCAGGTGCTGCACGGAAATCTGTGTTTTCCCAGGCACAGTCTTGGGCAGGGGATACAGACCTATCCTGTACTTTCATCCTGCACCTCTGGATGAATTTCAGTGTTAACAGAAAACAATGTATTTATGCTGACCAATACATCTGATTTTCATAAGTAGACAGACCAAAGTGAGCAATTTGCTGCTGCCTATGTTTTATTTAAAAAGCAGCACATGCAGATGACACACAAGTGTCTATTAGGTTGAATAAAGCAGATTAGGTTAATCCAACCCCAACTGGATTACCTGAACTGCAAGACATGCAACACTCTGAGTCTTGTATGTGTGCCAAGAATTTCATTTCAGCCCTTCAGCCTTCTGTTAAGGTTAACAGATAAAAGCCTCCAGCAGCAGAAGATACTGCATAGATTTCAAAATTAAGACTTGTTTCAGGAGTGAATGTTGTCAACATTCTGGCTTTGAGTAACAGAAAAACCTCATAAGCAGGAACAGATCTCTCAATAGAGTATTCTCTCAATATCTAAATAGACAAATGTTTTGCTTTGCAAACATTTTGCAGCATTTGTGTAGTTCTTTGATTAAGTGTTTGATGAAAACATGTATTTGAGTTACTGCTCAGTGAAAAACAAGCTCAGTAAAGTGAATTAAGTTCCATCATCTCTTGCCATCCAAGGGTCAGCTGTTCCTGCTGTATCCTGCAGCACTGCAGCAAAAACTTGGGGACAGATTTTACATTGGGGCAAATAGCAGTGCTATTGCTGGCCAACAAAGCAGCTTTTCTTGCCAATATTTACTGTGTTTTTAAGAGGAAACAGGGACCAATTCCTATCTCTCCCTTCCCAAAGACTGTACTTCCTCCTCCCTCAGCAGCTCTAGCACCCTGGAAGCCCATGCAATAGCTGAACAGGCATAACCCATATTATTTACACCAATTACTGTGAATAACCATCTGCATCTAACACAATACATGGAAATATCACAACAAAGCATGCATCACTCTGTCATCCCACCACCTTGGCAGCTACACCCAGAAAATGCCATAGGTAAGAGTGCTTACCTTATGAAAAAAGGCAAGAAGGAAATAAAAAAAAATAAAATGAGACAAAAAAAAAAAAAAAAAAGAAACAAGACATTCTAACCATCTTTTAAGCGGTTTCTTTTTATTATTTACTCCAACTCCCAACATCAGACATTTTTATTCCATTTCTTCTTTTTCCCTGCTATTTGTTCTAGAGAAGGCAGCCAACACTCAGCCTTCTGCACAGGGAAGGAGATTTCCTTCAGTATCCAGACATTTAAATAAAGGTTTTTAAGAACTGCTGCCCTGGAAAGTCAGGGCATTCACATCTAAATGCTGCCAGCATAAAATATGTGTTATGAGGAGAAAAAGTCTTCAAGGGGTTTTCTTGGGCAAGGTAAGTATTTTTTTCCCTATCGAGTTTTAAAAACCCTGTTCTAGAGACTGGAGAAATGGCTTAAGATGGTTTCTGGAGGATTCTTCTTCTCAGGATGACAGGTAGCATTAAACCCAAGCCAAAGCCAAATCCCAGATATCCCAGACAGGCTTGCTGAGGAGCAGCAATCTGCGTACCAGAACTGACAATTCCTGGTCTACAAAAACAATTACAGCTAAAATTTGGAATAGGAGGGGAAAGGAAAATCCACCTGAATGCTTCAAACACTGATGGAGGCTGGGACAGTCCAGCACAACTCATAGCCACAGGGTCAGAGAAACTCAGAGTAACACACAGGCGCTGGGCAGGGAATTCTGTGAATATTGGATCTGCCACTATTTTTAGAAAGCAATTCTGCCACACAAGAGCAGTTTAAAAACAGGGATCTTGTGGTTAAGCACAGAGATCAGTGCTGGAAATACCTTTCTTAGGCAGGGATGCCAATTCAAACCTGTTTCCTGAATCAGGTTCTGGTGTTGATGGTGCATCCTCACTGTCCAGGTACAATCTGCTAGGGCTGAATCCCTCAAGAATCACAGAGGACCCCAGGGGAAGGAGATAACTCAGGCTCAGCCCTGGAGGTCAGCAGGACCCCCAGAAAGGAGAGCAGAGCCAAATGCAGTCCAGTTTCCTTGGGGAAAGGGTCAGCAGGAGGGTGTTCAGGTGAGCTACAGGCTCCTCCAGAGGCCAGGCACCAGCAGAGCCCATTGGCACTACGTGAACAGCTCACTACAATTTTAATCTCTAGTCCTAATGAATGATATAAAGTTTTATAAGCATCAACAAGGCTCTGAGAAGACCTAAATCCATTTCAGTGCTCATTTAGCAGCTTCATCTGTGTGCAATTAAAACTTCAGCATTAAATGTTAGAGAATAAAATAATGAGACACTTAAAAAGTAATCTGTACTTCAGTGGGCTGTGCTCAGTGGATTTCATATGATCATTTACCAGATAAAAATAGAATCTGGCCAAAATCTGTCTTATCCACTCCTTCCCTTTCAACAGGAAAATGGAAAGAACCAACTAAGCTTTGTGGGCTTTGCCATCCCACGTACACACAATGCTGCTTCCCTAAGCACAGTCGTGCCTAAAGCACAGCTCCAAGCATTGATAACTTCCCTTTGGGCTCCAATGATAACAGAAAAATAAATGCAAATTGAGTTTCAAGTGAGATTTTCATTTTGGTCTGAAGCCTAATCTTTTATTAAAACAGCTATCAGTTTGGAGCTGATGGTTAGGAGAAGTTAACTTCAGGAGGAAAAAAAATTTTAACAGCAAAGAATAGCTTTTATTTGTAAATGTATCTGAAATGCTCCCAAGGTTACTTTAAGCTATAAAAGTTGACTACAGGGGGACTTGGATGGGCCATGGACAGGCCATGAGAATGGTTTTTACTGAACAAAAGAACTGTAGAAAAAATGTGAATTAAAAGCAAAGATGTACATAAATATCAAAATAGATTGAGTGGGAGAACACAGATCAAAGAAGTATTATACAGGCAACATACACACAGTTAAACTTAAAAGAAGCAAAACCAATGAAAAATATATATTTTATTAAAAACTGAAATAATGTTTATTCAAGAAAAGGCAACATTGTGCATCCTCATAGAAAAGAAAAAAGACATCTGGGGAGGTCAAAGAACGCTACAGTTTAAAATGATGAAATGTTACAGCTTACACACCAAAATTAAAAGTGAAATGAAATTAAAAAAATGAAATGGTTACCAAAGTAATGCAGGTCAAGGGATCAAAGGTGAAGGGTCACACACTATTAAAAAGAAATCCAAAAGGGCGTCTGCATCAAGATCTCTGCAAAACAAAGGAGCTTCAGTGAGTAAAACTAGAACCTTCTATGGAAGCACATCAAAGCTCTTGCACTCCACACCCAGCCCACAGCAGCACACTCAGCTGCTCTCCTGTGCCAGTGGCTACTGGCCCTCCTTCAGCCACTGACCCTCCTGCAGCCACACTGGACAACTCCTGTTTCCAGCCACTTTGGCTTGTTATTATTAACCTCCCTGTAGACAGGCTCCTTAAAGTTTTCCCACTTCCATGTTGGAGCATTGGTTTCTTGTTTCACAAACTGTTTTCAGCACTGAGGGTACAAGACTGCACAGCCCAAGCCTCACCTGCAGGTCCTGCACTGGCACTGACTCCTGTGCAAAGAGGCTCTGCTTATGTCAGAACACTCCTGGCTGTCAACACAACTGTTGGATTGCTGCTTTTCAGAGAAAGCTTGACATGCTTTTTCAACAGTTTTCTTTGTTCACTGTAACTGTGGAAATCTGGTAATTATTGACACACACACACTGAATCCCTCACATTGTAACGTATTGCTTTAACACTCCAATAAAAAAGTAATTCAAATGTGGTTTCCAAGACAAAGGCCTCTCCTCCTGGAATTTCAATTACACAGAAGCTATAAAACAACCTTTGGTACCCATTTCCAAGCAAGATGCAGTCAATTATCTATACTAAATTTATGCAGAGAACGTAATATTTACATCAGATAACTTTTGGAGAAAGACAACCACCAAGGGCATTTCATCCCTCTTCATTCCAGCATCCCTCCCCCTGCCTGGCAAGGCATTAAGTTTTGGGAGACTCTTATCTGGACCAAACCAGCTCTGTGCTTGAAGCCAAGAAACACACTCCCTTGCACAAAACCCTGCCTTTGTAAAGCAAAGAAGCCCCCAGTGTCAGAGATCACAATGTCTAACACTGAGACGCAGCACAAGGATCTAATCTGCCTGCATGTTTATCCAGAAAACATCTGATCTTTCCATGTCATTCCTGCTTCATGCATGTCACAGTCAGGAACCTGCTGGAGATGCAAGAAGGTCCATATTCCCCCTCAGTAAATCCTCCTGCTAAAGGTACTGCTTGTGGACCTTAAAATTCAATTCCTGCCACTATTTCCAGCATTTATCAATTCCACTTTCTGTGAGCCAAACCAGTAAATCCGCATTTCTGCTGTTCCCTCACTGCTGTGCTGGGCTGCCTCCTTTCACCACAGCTCACACTGCAGATGTGCCAGACAACCTCAGTATCAAAGAAAGCAGTTTGGGAACCCAGCAACTCTGCAATAACTCAATAGCACAGACACAGACTTCAGTGACTCATCACATAATTAAGTCTGAAGGCATCACCATGAGTTGTGCGACCTCAGAGGTGCATGACAGGGACATGCCTGCAGGACACACCAACATCATGGGGCTCCCTCACAACTTCTCAGTTAACAGAAAGATTGCAAAGATGAGTTTTAGGCAACTCCGGGAACATTTTAGCCCTGGAACAACAATGATGGGTCAAAAACCCACAGTGGGACACGGGGCTCTCCAGTGCCTGGCCTGGTCCAGGGCTGTGTGCTGCAAACAGCTCTGAGCTCCTGCAGTCTGTCAACAACAGGGCATAGACAGCAGATACAAAGGAATGAGCACAGAGACTTGATTTTTCATTCCCCCAACTGCAGTGGATTATGCCCTCTCCTCTTGTCCCTAGTACACTGTCCCCCACAAAGACCACTGCTTCTTTCCCTCTTTTCCTCAGGCAGTGTCCCAGCAGAAGAAAACATTTGCTTTCATTTGCACTAATTTTTCCTTCATATCTAATTTCTTCTTTCTAATACAAATTCTGATTTTTCTCTTCCAAATGAAACAGGCACCCTTAGAAGCAGCAAACCTGAAACCAAGATGACAGGATTTCAATCCCTTACAAAATATAATCTCCTCAATTCCCATTCATTTGCCAAATAAACCAATTCCTGTGTACATGCCAGGCCCTGGCAGAGAGAGTGAATTTCTAAAGTGACTTTGTTGTACCATTTTCCTTGCATAACATGGAAGTACACCTTGTGTAACACCAGTATTTTACTCAGTGCTGGGCAAGCCAGAGACACAGAAACACAATGCAGTGGTACCTATCACTACTGATGGCATTCCTGCAGATAGGTAAATACTAACTGAATTAATCCACTTTCCTGACTCCCTCATGTTTCAAGAACAGTTTCTATAACTGGTAACTCCAACTTTTTATTCCCCACATACCAGATTCCACTTTTGCTCTTGATACTACATTTCAGGATAATCATGTACAAGCCACAACAGAGGACACAGGTTAGGAAAAGCACACGAGGTCCATCAACTGGAGGAAATAATACTCCACCTTATTTTCCCACAAGACAGACAAAGAATTTGGAGCCACTTTACAGCCACTGTCCAGGTATCTGGACACACATTTGTTGCTGCTGAACTATGGTCATCTACAACCACTCTTTGGAGGAACCTGGAAGTGTCAAACAGCAAAAAACCCTAACACCACTGACCAATATTCAGAGGTACTTTGACAGGTTACTAATGACAGTCAGACAGTTAAATACCATGAACATTTTATACTTTGTGTACAGTATGCTAGAACTATGAAGTTTTTGGGGGTTTTTTTTAGGCTATCATTAAGTGTAAAAAACCTTAATACATTAATTTAACTTATTCAAAATACTTTAACTTGGGAGTTTAAAAAAAAGTCATGAGGGCAGTGAATTACTCCAAACCCTCCAACTGTTTTGCTGTGCTTTACAGCAGTCACTCCAGTTCCAGCACTCTGACATACTAACTGCCCAGCATTACAAGATCAACTCTTTTTCACTGACCTTAACATGAAACAAAAGGAAGGGGAAAAAGCCAGATTTTCCTAAGAGGAAGATGAGGATCTGTGTTTGAGCATGAACAGGTATTACTGCCTTTGTTCAAAATCACCTGGATTGGTAGGTAACCTTCCAATATTGCTCAATCCTCAGCCTGCTCACAGCAGTCACTAGGGCTATAAACACAACTGAGGAACTGCAAACACAACGCCAGCAACGCATTCCTGCTTTGCACATTAAGCAAAGCACAGAATTTCATTAATTTCACAAAATAAACCCACAATTAAGTGCTTCTGTTAGAGAAATTGCCGTCTCCTTCACGGATCAGCCTCAAACCCCAGCCACATGCACAGCGGGAGGAGCCGCCCCCACATGCCAGACAGCCCCAGTCAGGTGTACGAACACTTCGCTACTGCTCTCCTCTGCAAACGCTGTTTCCCTTGCATTTCACTTGTCAACTCTTCTTCAAAGCAAGTGGGGCTCCTCACACTTCTGCTGGTGGCCAAGAGGAGGGGCAGGCTCTGGATGAACAGCACCATCGGCTGGCAGTGCAGGCACCCAGCTCGCTGGTGACAAAGCCAGGTGAGAGAGGTCTCTGCGAGGCACAGGACCTCACAGACCACCACCACTGAAATAAAGGGTGAGAATCGACACCGCCACTCTGGATTTTATGGATGCTCTGGCTGCTCCAGCGCTTGGCAAACACTTTGCCCACAACAAGGTAACACACCTGCCATTCCCAAAGCCTTGTTGTAATGTGCCTCAGTCCCCAGCTCAGAACCACACAAAGGGTGCCCCAGGTGCCAGAGCAGTGGAGGCAGGAGGAGCTGCTATGCGGGAGCACACACAAGCTGGTCCACAACCACTTCCTTGCTCCTCCTCCAGCAGGGAATCATCAGGTGGAACAGAAACCAACAGCATTTCTAGTAACAGCAATTGCCATTACTATCAGAGTACTTTATACTGTGATCACGTGGGCAGCAGGCAATTAGTCTAAATTCAATATTCTTATTGCTTTTGAGAAACTCCAGAGCTGACACAGACTGTGAGGATGTCCCAGCCCTGGGAGTGCTCCTAAGCAGACACAGGGCTCTCACAACAGCCACCAGTGGCCTCTGGCTTTGGGAACCCCGTGCTCCAGCCAAACACATCTGAATAAATTGATGTAAAGCATTTAAAAAAATATGCTGGACTTCAGAGTCCACAGGGAGCTGTACTGAGCACTGCTCCTTTTCCACGGAGTTTTGCCATCTTGAAGGCACACTGTGACCTAGACCAACAACCCTTCCCTGCTCCAACTGGGCTGGTGACAGAAACTGGTCCCATACACTTGCTCAACACCACATATTTATAACACATTCAGCTACTTTGGTGAAAAAGGAATGGACTGGAACATGCAGTGCAGAGTTACAATACACCGCACCGTTCGGGGCAGCCTTAAAACAAAGACCTTTTTTTAAGTTTTCTGATGTAAAAGTCGATTCTAAAAGGCACTTAGAGACATTAAAAGGAAAAAAAAAAGGGAAAAAATCTAAGAAAAAGCAGTAGCAGTAGCCCTGCTGCCGGGTCTGTAGCAGAGCGGGGCTTCGATGTACAAACGTGTGGCGACAGGAGCCGTGTGGTGACCAGCTGCCTGACACTCAGCTGCAAGGGGAGCTGGAGGAGCAGGCAGCAAAAACGCATTGCTTTCACTTCCTCCCTGCCAGCATTTCAGAGCATCACAGCCAGCCCGAAGGCTCCAGACTCACTCCCCCTATCAGTCTGGGTCCCTCACGTCCCTCAGGCAATTCTCCAAACCTTCAAGATCTCTGTGCTTTAGAGAAAAGATGGCAAATAACTCGTTGTCAAGTGAAAAGGAGAATGTCACTGTCAAGCAAGCAAAGCAAGGACACCAGAGCACATCGAGATGTCAGTGAACACGCGACTCAGGCCCCCAGGCAGCAGAGGCAGAGGGTTTCTTCCTATGCTAAATAATGCTCAAATACAGTTTCATAATTGCACTATTTGAATACTCTCCCAAGTACTACCTGAGCCTGGAATCTGCAAAATGTGGATGCTGGCTGACTCTAGAGAGCAAGGCAGTTCTGCCATGCCCCTCCAGACAAGCCTAAGCACATGGAGCAATTGCTGCTGGCTTTTTCTACCATAGAAGTTCTGGGCTTCTCCCAA